AACAACTCTTCCTGGAGTGCAGATGAAGAAGAAGCAACCAATGGTGTGGGTATGTAGAGGGTCTGAGAAGCTCTGGGATACTGGCACATTGGGGGTGGGGGGAAACTGTAGAGGGAATATGGGTGTCTGTGAGAATAGGAGGCCAACAGGGATTCATGGATAAGTCTTCAAGGTACAGATTTCAAAGGAGAAGAGGTCAAATAAAGGTGATTGTCAGTCTGAAGTTCCAGCATCACTGAGGATCCAGCACATTCTGGACCCATGACTGAGTAGAGCTTCACCAGATGTCTTCACATCCACACTGCTGAATACCCTCTACTTCCCTCCAGTGCTGCAGCCAAAAAAAAGCACAACTGCTTCCTTTGCAATGTCCTGATACCACCCACTACTGAGAAAGCTTACTTCCATGCTCACAGCAAAGAAGAAACACCTAAAGGAATCCCATGTGTTACCACAGAGCATCTACTGAAGGGTGAATTTGAAGCTGAGAGGCAGTAAGATGATAAATGGCACATATCTCCTCCAAGTTTCAGAGGCTCTGTGATAGAAACTGGACTTCCATAGTCCAATCCACACACACAAAAACGGTATGAATTTGTGTTTAGGTGTTGATATGAGAGATGATAAAGAAGCAGAAAAGGAATGAAGAAGTTGCAAACCCAAGAACAAATGGCTGGATAAACCAATAAGTATCTTAAAATAAAATCCAAACAAATCTTAGTACCTTACAATATAAGGCTTTGTGTGATCTGGCCCCTACTTACCTCTCCAGCCTAGATTCTTTCTGCTCTCCTGTCCCTGGACCTTCTTACCATCCTTAAACACACTAAACTCCTATTTGCTGAGAACTTTGTACCTGTTCTCCCATCTTCCTCCAACTTTCTTCCCCTTATTCTGACATCTACCCATTTGCCAAATATCAGTTTAGTTGTCACTTCTTTAGACATTTAACCTGATCCTACCTGAAACAGCACGACATGATTTTTTTAACTGGACTTCACGTTTTATTTTTTTTAAGTAGGCTCCATGTGGGGCTTGAACTCAGGACTCCAAGATCAAGAGTCACATGTTCTACCAGCTGAGTCAGCCAGGCACCCCTGGACTCCACATTTTAGAGCAGTTTTATGTTCGCAGCAAAATCAAGCAGAACACTCAGCTAACACAGTGGTTGCCCAACCTTCTAGGGAGGCCACATATAGTAACATTGGTGATGAATCTGGCCCAACAGACACAATAACTTTCAGGAACACATGAAATTTGTTTATTGAAAAAATATAATTTCCTCCAGCTATGAAGTTTTTATGCTCATGGACAATACAAAATCATGGAATAGGATAACCAAGAATTTACATTTTGAACATAACCAGAATCAAATCTTATGTCTTCAGGTAACATGATGGAAACATTCATAATTCTTCAATAACAGGTTCTTCGAAGTAAACACAGGTATTTTAAATGAACCAGGTATTATAGTCTCCAGTTTTATTGGGAAACCGTGTTTGTTTTTTGTCACCCAGGCGTTGTCTTGAGCCAATTACAAGTCTGTAAAGAAAGTTTCCATAACCACCCAATCATCTGAGCACATGATTCCAAAGATGTATTTTATGTAACAAGGCTCTGTGGAGGGTAGCAAAGTTTATGTTTGGAAATGTGACTATTAAAATGAGCTTGACTAATTACCTTGACTAGCTTACTAATTACTTCATAGGGGAATTCAGTGGAACTCAATGCTGCCCTATACAGAAATGTTTTATGTTATAGAGTTCCTATGAATCCAAATACCCATGAATATGACATTCTGATAATATATTTTTACCTCAGAGCCATTTCTCTATAAATTTTTATCAACTCTAGGTGTTCATTTAGTTCAAACCAGAACACACATACACACAGATACCCTTTCTGATAAGACTGTTGAAACTTTTGCAAATCTCAAATTTCCTTCACCCATTTTAATCTATTTTATCCCAATAAAAATCTGAAAGAGGCAGATAACTTAAAATATGGAAATTGGAGCACAAGAAGTTAGGAAACTTACTAAAAGTCCCATGACTAATACATTATGAAGATCAAGTGTTCATTCTTCTTTGTTCCACTACACAAAGTCCCCCTTTCTAATCATTGGAGTCTTGGACACTTGCTGTAACAAGCAAGGAGTTTACTGTTTCTTATGGTGACCCATATCATTGTGAAATTACTCTGTTATACAATCCCCACATGCTTCAGAGTTTCTCATTATTTCCAGTGTCATTTTGCATCCTCGATAAAATGTATTTCAATATTGTGTTCACAAGCCAATCTCATCAAGTATGTCTGCTACTTTTAGTTCACTTTCTCTCACCTTTTAGTTCACTTTCTCTCCAGAGGGGTCTATCCTTGATGCCCATTGGTATGGCTACCTTCTAATCTCTTGATATACAGAAATGATAGGTCACCACACCCCTTACCAGATAATTTAGAGAACAATGAAGGAAGCTTGTGTAAATTATAACAAAAAAATAGCATCTTAGAAAAACACCCATTTATTGTTTCCAGTCTGAGTGGGTCAGGAGTCTAAGCACCGCCTAACTGGGATCTCTGTTCAGGGCCTCATGATATGACTGAGTATCAGCCAGGACATCTGAAAAATCTCTTTCTGTATAACTTAACTAGAGTTGCCAGATTTAGTAGGTATGCCCTAAATGTTGCATGAAACATATTTATTTATACTAAAAATTATCCTGGTTTTCATCTAAAATTCAAATTTATCTATCTTGAGTTTTATCCACCAACCCCAAACATAACATAACCACAGGAATGTTATCACCCATCATCTTTGCCAAGGTAAGAGGCAAATTACAAGTCCTGCTCACACTGAAGGTAGGGGAGCATACAAGGGTGCATGTCATCTGAAGTCACCTTAGAATTCAGCCTACCCATGCCTGAGAATTATTCCTTTAGCCCAAATAGTGATTATGTTTCCTCCTGGCTTGATGATATCTATTGCAGTAAGGTTCCAGAATATAGACACTTTCTGAAATGTATTACAGCTTTTTACCCTGTGCAGAGGCTATTTCCCCTTATAATGGACCAACTTCTAGCCATCTTTCATATTTCAGCTAGAAGTTTGTCTCTCTTTCAGAAATATGCCTGACCCTTCTTTGTTTATTCTTAGTCTTGGCATCTCTTTTGGTTTTTTCCTCTGTATTTCCCAAACACCCTTGTTATAATTATATTATAGCAATATTCTGATCTTTGTAGCTTGTGGGTTTGTGTGTGTGTGTCTTCACCACACTTTTAGAAAGCAGGGATAAATATTTTAATTCTCTATTCATAGCACATAATGAAATGTCCCTTATTAGAAGCTCAACAAATATTTGATGATTGAGATTACTCATTCCTCTAATTCTTAAGAAATGGTTCTATATCTTCAAGGAGAATAATCTATCCATTCATCCTCTTGTGTCCTTACTCTTCCCAAGCCTGTAATTTCTTTCAGGATTCAAGGGATACTAGGAATATTAAATTTATTTAATCATGGGTGGTTGAATCTTGACTCCAGCTCTGACAGTCTTTCTACATCCCAAATGAAGATAAGATTTCTCAATCCAAAACATTATACCTGGCCTCTCTTCCTAGATAAAGCAACATAAAATTTTCTGGTTCTATATTTTCCTGGTATCAGCATCACTATTTTCACAATCAGGTTTCAAAGCTCAAATCCATTCCTAACCTATAGCATCCTAGAACAGGAAATGGATATGTAAAACTGGTTAATTCCACCCCTCCCATAAAAAAAATAAATAAATAATTCCACCCCTCCCTTAAAATAACCTTAGTATTAGGTGATCCTGCCTGGGCTTAGATCCATCCAGTGATAGAGCACTTAATGTACAAATCACTCTTGTTTCAGATAGTGTCACAAAGAAAGAGCTCTTGTGTTGAGAAATTTGTATGTCGTGGTCATCCACTCACCCCACCCTGATTAGTGTCTCTAGAAAGACACAGAGCACATCTACAATACTAGTCTTATTGATTTTGCAATGCCAATATTCCAGATATATAACTTTATATACCACCCTGAATTTGCTACAATTCTAAGTGCTAAGATGAAATGTATACTTTTTAGATATTACCTTCTCTAGAATTTTCTCTCAATTCCTTCACTGCTGATATCTAAGATCTTATAGGTTCTACCTTCACAAAATCCCTGATGCTCATCTGTTCCCTTTCATTATCTGTGCCACCAACCGAATCCAGGCTCATTTAACCAGTCCCCAGGTCATTTCTATACTTAACTATTGAGCCTTCTTTCGCTCTCCTTCCAACCCATTTTTCACCATTAGCAATCTCCCATTAAAAAGCAGATTTTTGAGGCATGTCTATGTGTGCGTGCATGTGTGTTGATGAGTATGTGAGTGCTGATTAACATGGAAAGAACAAAATGGATAAACCCAGGATCATAAAGCACAAATGCTAAAGAACAAACCCTTTCATAAAATAAACTAAGAACAGAACACCCAGCCAAGAAGGAGCCATTTTTTCAGGGATGAAATTCAAGATATATAATATTCAGTATGTCGTGAATACTGACCAATCAGAATGGAAGCCAGACATACATAATTGGAATGAACAGTTGAGCCTGAGCCCTGTCAATCTGAGGAGGTCACAGAAATAATAGGCAAAAATATAAGTCAATAGCATATCTGACACAAAAGATACACAAACTTGTGAGGAGCAGTAAAACATGTTTATTTGGAAATCGTCACATATAGAAACAGAGAATAAGAAGGTAATGGGTTTAACCTTGGATTATGGCCCAAATGAGGTCTTCTTCCTTCCAGAAACATCATAGAGTAACTCAGGAGCCCTCAATTACAAAGAAGAGTTTCAAGAAGATGATCAGTTTTCTGCAGACTCTGATTACTCTCTTCAGTCAGATCTGATGTGATTGTGGGACACTGAAACGAAACAGCCTTGGAATAATCATCTTAGAAGAAAAGACGTCTTTCAGTTATGTTCTAGCAGCAAGATGAAAAACATCTTCTGTAGAATGGCCTGCATCCACAGCAGGCAGCGCCAGAGCCAGACTTGTAACCACAGCTATATCCACCGCCATAGCCAGAGCCACATCCACAGCCATATCCAGAACCGTA